AGCTGACATGTGCAGAGTATCAAGGGCGTGAGCACTAGCAACACAGCTGAGATATACTGTATAGTGAAAGACACTCACTATTCTCTCTTCCTCCCTCTTCCTTTTCATCTCTTCAATCTCTTTCCTCCGCACAGCACGCTGCTTAGCACGCTCTTCCATGGCTATGGGGAAATTGAACTTCTGTTTCAAGCTGTTTCTGTTTTACGATCCGTCCTATGTCACAAATCATGGAACAGCTAGCAAACAAACATAATCAGACTGATTACTTTGGCTTCACCAAGAATACAGGAAGCATGAAAAGCCGAGCTGCTTGTTCCCAAACTGATAATGACTGACCTGTGACTGCAGGGTGAGGAGAGCAGGAGGGCCTCAGGGGTGCTCTGGAAACAGACAGGGTGTTGTTCTCTTCCTTAGAGTGATTTTCTCCCTGGCTCTGTACTGCAGCTCCCGACCTTAACATCAACATGACTGTAACATTAGGCCTGCTCTATAACCTGGTACAGTATTCAAGCCATTGCCATAATTGTACAACACTCTACCATGAGTGCAGATGCATCAATGTATCGTACCACTCTACTGTGCAGAGAAGAAACTGTGGAGTATGTGAGCTACAGTTATCTTTCTGGGACTAATTACAAAAGTATACTGCATGTGGAACTGGAACTGCTGGTCGGTTCAAAGACAAACTCTTACAGAGATTTACTTGCTTTAACCAGATATAGCCAGAGCTGATACAGCATCCTCTGCATTAAACTCTCCATCCATGTAATTCCTTGCGACTAGTGTGATAAGTGCATCTATTTCAGATCGCTAAGAGCACTCCATGTGTCCACGTGTCCTACACTATTAGAGGTGACTGGACTCACTGCACATTTATTATTCTAATTACCCAGTTTTACAATGGATTTAATGCGTCTTCTAAGGGAGGTTTAATGAGAGAACATCAAATAGGAGTCCTGAGAGTGATGTAATGGTTACTGTTGGACCTCACATGGGCAGTGTGGTACCTGGACTCCCCTAGCGCCGTGCCGCCTGAACTGGGTTTCTGGGCAGGCGGGGCAGGGAGGCTGGCCTGGGCCCTCTCCGCCTCCTGCCTCAGCATCAGCAGCCGCTGGTTCTCCTGCAGCTCCAGGATCATCTCCTGCTGCTCCCTCAGCTGCCGGCGCTGCTGCTCGAGCATCCGCTGCTGGAAGGCGTGCCGGTGCTCAAAGCCGCCGCCGCCGCCGCCCGCTGCCCCCCCCGGTGGGGGCTGCTGCGCGTTTCTGCTGAGGTCCTCCGCGGTCAGCGCGGCATGTTTCTTGGTGACCTGCCAGGCGTGCTTAGGCCTCGACGCCGGGCGCCCACCACCATCCCTTACTGCAGGCGCGGGAGGAGGAGAGGCCAAATCTGTCTCTTCACGCTTTGCGGAAGGCTGGGTACTCTAAAAGGAAGAACAGCAGGACACAGTAAAGGCCAGACTGCCAGCTCTTAAAGGAGCCAAAGATCAGGACATCTAAGTACGCAGGACTGTCTGGAGGTATATTAGTGCTCACAATATTTGAGCAATTCAGGAGTATTCCCAGCAGCCAAAGTCCGACAGCCAGCATTTCTAAGGAATCCAATCATTCCTGAAGACAATCTGCAACCTTCGATTGCCTGCGCTGAAGGATTTCTGTTGTTCAGGTACGGGGATTAAGGGCTGAGGGGTAGCAGACAGACTGGCCGGTCCAGAGGAAATTCGGTGGGGTCAGTGCCGCTCGTTAGCGGATTCAGGCGGGGGGGGTCAGTCACTCGCCTCTGTCTGTGCCGCGGGCTGGTGCTGCTCGGACGAGGCCGTGGCCCCCTGGCCGGCGGGCCGGCCAGCCCACAGCTCCCCCGAGGAGGCGGCGCTGATCAGGGCGGCCATCTTCCGCCGGGTCTCCTCCTGCTGGGCCTGGAGCCGGCGCCTCTCCCGCCGCGCGCGGCACCAGCGCCGCCACTCGCCCAGGAAGTGCCGCAGCAGCCGCCGCCGGTCGCTCTCCAGGGCCCGCTGGCACTTCCTGCGGGCGAAGCAAGCGGGCGGTTCGACAGGGCGAGGGCATCACGCACCGCCTGAAACCTAGAAACTCATCACACACTACAGCGCGAGAAAGGCTCCAGACAAAAAGACACCATGTGGACATTCTAGCTTGTTTGGCTGCTTGTTGCCAAGCACGCAGCTTCCCCTGGACAGAAGCTCGGATATCGGCTTTGACCGTCAACGCTCTCATTTCCTTTCTCTAACGGAGCGGATCCCTGTCCCGGGTGCGAGTGTAAGCGCTGACCGCCGCTGGACCGGCGCCGCTTGCCTGTTGTGGCCGCGCAGCTCCTCCTCCGTCCTCTCCGCCCGCCGGGCCCACACCAGGGCCTGCCAGGCCCGCCAGGCCCTCAGCTGGCTCCTCCAGTCACACAGCGCCGCTGCCTTGCCCGCCTGCAGCCGGCGCTCCAGCACCACGGAGTACCAGGCAGAGAAGTGTTTCTGGAGGCGCTGTCCCCACACACACAGAAAAACACAGCGTTACTGCAACACCCCGGACTGCTACGTCAGCACGGCTCGGTGGGACTGAGCCCAGCAGCGGCCGACCCGAGGGCCATGTGGTCCACGAAGTAAATGACAGCCTGACAGGCTCCTTTCTTGAATGGAAATCAACCACATTGCTTTCAGTACTAAGTCACGGACGGGGGGGTGGGGGGATGGGGGGATCCCGAATTGTATAAGATAAAGAAACTAAAAACATGACTGTTCTTTAGACCCTCACCCTCAAGTTTAGAATATGTGTCCTGGCCTCAGTCTCCCTCAGTCTGCGCAGTCTCTCAGCCTCTAGCTGTTCATGCTGCAGCTGCATCTGTGCAGCCTGTCGGACCAGGGGCTGGGGACTGGATTTGGGGACCCCCATGCCGGCGATGGGCTCAGCATGCGCTGTGCCTCCTGCGGATCGCTTTCTCTCCTGCCTCTCTCTTTCCCTGCGGCACACCAGATCAACAAAGCACACAGTCAAGAGCTGTACTATACGTACACATATAACAGAAGTGTGTACTACAGTATGATGATGGAGGAATGATGAAAAAAAAATTTGGGGGGAAACAACAAATACAAAACCTACAAGAAGATCCCTTACAAATTATCACACAATAATTAAATTAATTATTGCAAGTTTACAGCAGAAATGGATGGCAGTATGGAGCAGTAGTTACAGTGCCTGACTTGGACCTGGATTCAAGTTGTGGATCCAAATCGTGGGTGAGACATTCCTTGTTGTAGCCTTGAGCAAGTTGCTTCACCCAAATTGCTCCAGTAACATACCAGCTGTATAAGTGATTGCAAATGTAAGTTGCTTTGGATAAGAGTGCCATCCAAATTAAGTAAGAAAAGCTCTCTTGTGTGCAACTCTAAACAGACTAAATTTTGACTTGATGCAATACAGCCCTAAAAAGCACCACATCGGTGTCTTCTAAATACATTATTATCCAAATTTATATTTAATGCCATACAGTATGCTGCAGCTAGCATTGCTACACAACACCTAAAGACACCATGTACTAAAATCATGATCTATTGCTTCCGATTAGATTTTGCTCTTCTTAAGCTGGCCAGTGTGGCAGTTTGCGGAATTACGCCTCTTCTGTAAGTTTTCAGTCTCCTTATTGACTCTGAGCTGCTCCCACGTCCATCAGCGCTCACAGCTTCACAGATTAGAGACACAGCAGGCCTGACTAACAGATGGCCGAGGGACGGAGTCGAATGGGATCTTGCACAGCCGTCACCCACATCTGCCTGGCCAGTCCTGCGACGCTCCTCTGCTCGGCCATGTCCTTGCGCAGCCGGACCACCTCCCTCTGGATGAGCTCCTCCTGCTGCTGTGCCTCCAGCCTCTTCCTGCGCTCCTCCCCCTGCAGGAGGCGCCGCGCTGCGGCCCGGGCCTCCCTCTGGAGGGCGCTGTCCCGGCGCCGCCGCTCCTGCTCCGCCTCTCGCCGCGCACGGCTCTCCTTCACCTGCCCACACACAGCACAGTGGAGCGGGGAGCGCGGCCCGGGGGCGGTGTGCCTGTGTGTCTGAGGGTGTGCCTGTCAGTGTGTGCCTGTCAGTGTG